TTTATTTCTAAAAAAATTAAAACCTCATCCAAACTGCTTTTCCGAAGGTTTTGCAGGTGAATTGAAAAGAGAAAAATTTCGAAGAACCATAATACGAAAAGCTATGCACTTTTTTTAGCCAAGTGACAAGACTGGCTGGAAGAACTTTGCTTCTTGTTGCCATTATAGAGACGACGAAAAACAGAGAACGCTGTTCTGCTGCAAAAAAAAATCGTTCCCTTCAACGCTGGTTGTTTGTACTGATGAAGAAGATGATGTTAGGAAAATCTAAGCTCAGCTTGTAGAAAATAAAGATTACGGAAGTGTAAGCTGGATGATTTCTAGGAATGTAAGAAGTAAGCTGCTGAGACATTCCATGCAGCGTTGATAAAAGATGTGCATGAAAAGTGCTGAGCAGGATGTCAAGTTTTGTAGGATAAAGCTATCCGTTCACGATTCCTAAACAGCATTCGTACAAACAATTAAACGCCCTCAATACGTCGGAAACATATGCAGATGAGACCCGAAGTGGATTCGAAGTGAAGGTGAACGTTTAGAGGCGTGGTTACGAGATGGGGATTCGTGGCGAGGGGACGATACGATACTATAATCGAGGGTGACCGTTTGGGGATGGGTGGATGGGTGGCTGGCTGGCTGGCTGTCGGCCGCGGAACTCTCACTCAGCTGACCGTCAGCGACGCCTCGATGGCCATGGTTAGCCTAACGTGCGGACGCAACGAACGTTCACTACTCGTAAGCGTAACGCGTCTTTGCGCACTCCGCACACCATATGACCCCTCCGCGCGCGCGGGTGTTGTTCAAGGCTGGCCGCACCACACGTACACATACACTCTCACAAATAGATACGTCCGACGGATTAGACGATGTCAAGCCGGGCAAAACTCTTGTCAACGAGCGGTGATTGAGCGTCCTGCGGTCACGATGTGAACTCTCAGCTGATAGCACTGTTTGCGACTCCCAGAAACTCCTTCACTTGTAGTCGATTAAAACATAATGAACATTCTATGTGGTGATTTTAGTTCAAGTTTTGGGAATTGAGCGGTTACCATTTACAACATTTATTCCATTCTTAAAAAGCATTCTTACTTGAGAAAACTACAAGGATAGAGACCGTAAGCGATACAACAAACAAAGTTGACTTTCTAGGTTAGTACAGGTGCAATTTTTACAGTAATAAGTTCGAAGTAGACTACATATGGCGCAGCCTGGGTTTTTGAATTTGAGTAGATAAAGAAAGTAGTTTCTAGGTTTTTCTTTTTGAATTTTTGCACTCTTTCATGAATTCCACAGTAACTTGTGTTATAAAACAATTCCGCGCAAAGCTAAAGTTAATCATTTTGAGCCAGAAGAAAGCCTTTATGGACATGAAATTTTTAATAAATTGGAAATTGACTTGAAACTCAAGGTAATGTAACGGAGAAAAATTACAAAGCCGTATGTTGTACGATTGTTTTCGTCTCAAATTCGCAACAAACACTACATAAGTCCATAATTGCGCCATTACCCTTCCTATAGTGAAAAACGTTCCAGTTTCACGTCATTTGTCGCTGCGATCATTTCTTGATCGCCCTTGTCCTCTACCAGTCTATAATTACTGTGTAGTCACTTTGTCCAATATGTGAGATAAGATGATCGCCGTCTTTTTCTATCAGATGATTTTCATTTATTAAAATATTAAAAATGATAAGAGCATGAAAAAATAGAAAGTTCTGCATAGGTTACAGAAAGAATTTAACTTTTCTACATAAATACAATTAAAAGTGGAGCGGTGAATTCCATAAGAAAACTGGGAATTCTTGACATTTTCGTAACCTAGTCGACTTCGATTCATCAAAAGAAAAAAGGGGAGCCAAATGAGATACACCCTGAAACGGCCCGTCAATAGAAATAACAGGCAACGATGGAGGAATTCAAAGCATATTAGGAGAAGATGCAGATTTTCCAGGAAAGGCATAGCTATGAAACCGTGCGAACACGCATAAAAACGAAAGATTTATAGCTGACTGAGCAATTCATCAACAAGAATTTGGCCATAGCCTTGTGCTTCATCCGGTTAAATGTCGTCTAGCTGGCATTATAGTCGTTTTTGTAGTAAAATCATTTTATGGTCACGAGGGACAAAGATGCAGTTGTAATAAATCCATAAAAGGATAGATTTTTCTTGCTATTTTAATAGCGCTATAAAGTTCAAAAATAGCATATCTAAGCATCATTTAAAGTTCTTTTAGTAATTAAGATTCTTTCAAAACAAAAAATTGTCCGGAACAAAAACCACTTAAGCGGTCCACTATTGCCCATGAAAAAAA